TCCGGATGTGTTAGGATTCAAACCCACGATCTTTGGATCCGCAGGCATATGTCTAACAACTACACCACAGCGGTCCCTTCCTTTAATGCAGCCAGAGTATATAAATCATTTTTCATACAAGCTTTTTTTTAGGGCTTAAATAACATGACTGCCCATACATATACACAAATATGCATTCACTCATACAATATTTTCAAAATAGTAAATTAAATTCACTTTTAATAATTAATTTAATTAATATGTGTTGTAATATTAAAACGTGATATCAGATATGATCTTAACAAAAAATGACTGAGGACTGAGTGAGGACTGATTGAGGACTGACTAAGACCTGATATCAGACATGGTCATAACAGAAATGACTGAGGACTGAGTGAGGACTGATTGATGACTGACTAAGGACTGATATAAGATATGATCATAACAGAAATGACTGAGGACTGAGTGAGGACTGACTGAGGACTGATATCAGATATGATCATAACAGAAATGACTGAGGACTGACTGAGGACTGACTGAGGACTGATATCATATATGATCATAACAGACATGACTGAGGACTGACTGAGGATGATTGACGACTGACTATGGACTGACTGAGGACTGACTGACGACTGATGACTGACTAAGGACTGTATCAGATATGATCATAACAGAAATGACTGAGGACTGAGTGAGGACTGATTGATGACTGACTATGATATCAGGTATGATCATAACCGAAATGACTGAGGACTGAGTGAGGACTGATATCATATATGATCATAACAGAAATGACTGAGGACTGACTATGGACTGATATCAGATATGATCATAACAGAAATGACTGAGGACTGACTGAGGACTGATAACAGATATGATCATAACAGAAATGACTGAGTACTGACTGAGGACTGATTGAGGACTGACTATGGACTGACTGAGGACTGATTGAGAACTGAGGACTGACTAAGGACCAACTGAGGACTGACTTGGGATGAGAACTTTTCCACTCTAGGCTGCTACTTGAGGGTTTCACTATCCCAGCGATCCGGCGAGCCGCTCCCCAGATATCCATCCAAAAGGAAACATCCCGAATGCGCCGTACAATCTCCTAAATAGTTATAATTATGGTATCCTGACGAGTGCATGTCTTCTCTGGTGTGCACTGCAGTACAAGGTTGTCAGGGATTGGAATAAAATCATAAAAGAATACAATGTCGTATTTGAAAAAAAAAAAAAAAAAAATCATAAATGATGTCTTTAAACTGAATCCTGAAATTACATTTTTCGTCTGCTTCTTCGTCTTTGCGTTCACCGGCTTTAAACTTCGGCGAAAAGTTATGGTTTTTAGTCCACCCCCGGACTTCAGACATTGTTTTAGAACCTGACTTTTGTGGGCATATCCGTTTTACAGATCTGGCTCATTTGTATACAGACTTTTAGTTCTTTGCCTCTCAGATGCACGCGGGGTTTTGAAAGATGCCCCATTAGTCGACTCCTACGACATACTTGTTGGGGAGGCAGTAAGTTAATTCGGGGGTTTCGCCCACAATAGGGTATCAGAACCCACACAGGGATGAAATGATATGACACCCCTGCATTTTGTGAGGCCCTAACTGCGGCTAGTTTATGTTATTTGTGGATGAATGATGCTAAAAAAAAAGTTAAATATCCTGTGTTGTAACATTATGACAACATTTGTTGAACTGTTACATCTGCTAGCGTTTTTCTTTATTGATGTGAATTACATGTATATATAGTACACCCCTATCACTCAAAAAGGAGCCGGAACCCACAGGGGTACTGAAATCTGGAGTCCATTTTGGTACCTGGCATACAAGGAAAGCCAAATTCCTTCACTGGAAAGTGACAGCTTTGGCACGTATAAGAGCCACAGAAAGAAAAAAAAACGAAGTTTCTTAGCATTTTTAGCAACGACCGTCAAAGTGTCCCTCATTCGAAAGTTGTATGGTTTAGCACAGAAAAGGAAAGTTTAATTCACTTACCCGAAAGTGATATATTATGGCACAGAATAACGAAAGTCTAGTTCATTCACCCGAAAGTGACATCGTTTCGCACAGGAAAACGAAAGTCTAATTTGCTCACCCGACATAATTTGGCACAGAATCACGAAAGTCTAATTCACTCAACCGAAAGTGACAAGGTTTGGCACACAAGAATGAAAGTCTAATTTACACAGAATCACGAAAGAACGTGACACGGTTTGGCACATGTGCCACGAAAGTCTAATTCACACACCTGAACGTGACATGGTTCGGCACCGAAAAAAGAAAGCCTAATTCATTCACCCGAAAGAGATATAGAAGCCACGGTGGCGCATTAACTAAATGATTTTCTCTCGATCCCAAAATAACAGTCTACCCAGAGATAAATAATCAACAATTTTTCCGTGATAACATTAAGCGAAGATCAAAACTGTCTCAGTCATCACAGACTACAAATGCACTAAGAAGATCACATAAGTTCGATGTACCAGAAGTTTCGGTATCTAGTATTCCATCATGAAACAGTATCCCATCAGAAGTGTTGATGTCAAGTGAAGATAGATATGACTGCCTCCGCCACAAGGTGTCCAGGAGAAGGTATTTTGCCAGTAGAAGTGTTAGTCCTAGGAGAGATGGAGATGACTGTCTCGATGATGCTGTCACTAGGCCTCCACGAGATGGTATTCTATCAGTAGTGTTGGTCCTTTGTAAGACAGAGATGACTGTCTCGATGTTTCAGTTACCAGGTGTCCATGAGATGGTATTCTATCATAAGTGCTGGTCCTAGGTAAGACAGAGATGACGTTTTGATGTTTCATTCATCAGACACCCATGAGATGGTATTATACCAGAAGTGCTGGTCCTAGGTAAGACAGAGATGACTGTCTTGATGTTTCATTCATCAGACACCCATGAGATGGTATTATATCAGAAGCGCTGGTCCTAGGTAAGACAGAGATGACTGTCTTGATGTTTCATTCATCAGACACCCATGAGATGGTATTATATCAGAAGTGCTGGTCCTAGGTAAGACAGAGACGACTGTCTTGATGTTTCATTCATCAGATATCCATGAGATGGTATTATATCAGAAGCGCTGGTCCTAGGTAAGACAGCGATGACTTTGACGATGTTTCAGTCACCAGATATCCATAAGATGGCATCCTGACAGAACAAGAACAGAAGTTCCGCCAGTCAAGAGAAGCAACCTGAGTTTGCTTAACCTGTTCCGTTCATTTCCGTTGGGCAAGGGAAAGGCATCCTGTAAGGCAGAGGGTGACTTTGGTTCATGCATTCTAGTAGTATTAGGAGTAGCAGCAGCAGCAGCATTGAAGTAGTAGTAACAACAGTAGAAAGAGAAACAGAATAAGAAAACAAGGAGGATAAAGATTTTAGTAGTAGATACAAAATTATTCTAGTATTGTACGAGGTAGGTCAATGAATAAGTCACAAATGGTTTTTACCACACACACACACACACAATTAGGATGATAACCACTTGAAAACCATTTATTTTTACACATAGACTGTCCATTTATTTTTAAACATAATTTCCACCAACATTAATGCACTTGTCCCAACGTTTTTATCAGTCCTCACAAACCTGCTGCCCAGAACTGCGTACTCTGTTTTCCAAACCACATTTTCATTTCACATTCAACTTCTGTGTCATTCGCGAAATGTCTCCAGCCAAGGTGGGTTTTGAGTGGACCAAAAACCACGTGAGCACGCTATTGCAGCTGCTACAGAGTCAACCGTTACTCGCCTGTCACCTCTAATCATCTCCTCCACCCGCTGCACGGAGGCGTCTGTTGCAATGTCAACAGGACGACCAGGTCAGACTTCATCAACAATCGTAGAGCATCCTTGAGAAAAATTCTCTACCCAGCTATGCACCGTTTTACGGGATAAACATAAGTCAGCATAAACAGGAAGCATTTCCCCATGAATGTCCTTTGCAGGCAGCCCCTTTGCCCTCCTCTCATTCTCCCCCCCCCCCCCCCCCCCCCAAAAAAAAACGCACAACAGCACGTTGTTCTTTGAGGATACACTCCGTAAGTACAGTTGAAATTTTGCTTCTGCGTTTCGCATGCGCATGCAATAACTAGCGTCACCCAACGAACGGAGGTATAAAGTTTGATGTTGCTGTCACCTTATAGCACCTTTAAAAAACCACAATCCCATAACTATTTGTGACTTACTTATTGACTTCTTCTCGTTAATACAGGGTGGAATATTATTAAACAAAATGGGTGTCCTGATAACTATTTTCACACAGGTCAGTCTATTTCTATGCTGCTGCTGCTGCTGCTGCTACTACAATTACTACTACTATGATGCATGAACCATGATAATTTTAAACTATAAAGCTCCAACGGAAATTCAAATACACGATAACTATGTCTGCATACAAATGCTACTGAGCCGCTACGATTCACTAACAGCTGCAGTAGTAAACTTAATTAAAGTGTTATATTTACGTTAGTAGCAACATTCACATTATGTTGGTATTACTAATTTTAGCACGTGCATTATTATATAGACAGCAAATCAATGCACATTATGTTGGTATTACTAATTTTAGCACGTGCATTAGTATATAGACAGCAAATCAAATGTTTGCCTTCTTAGATGGAATAAATGGCTTCTGACATCATGTCATAAAGGTAAACACCAAAAGTAGAGAGGAAGGTAGAATACGGGGTAGGCCGAGAACAATATGAAAAGATAACATCAGAGAAACTATACAAATGTACTATGTGTGTACGGTCGAGGCGGCTAAAACAGCAAGGACCAGAATTTTATATCTCCCTCGACACACTAAAATTGATAAAAGAATAAATTAGGAAGAAGGGAAGAAAGATAGGTTGTAGACACCACTTCCACTAGTTACAGACGAACCAGGGCGGCGACCTAACATAACTATAACATTTGTAAAGAGAACAGAATCGGTGTGTACAAGAAGGCATAATTAATGAATAATAGAGAAACAAATATGAGAATCAAACTCACCCATCCTCCCTTGTGAGGTTAGCCAAGGCAACAGTCGGCTGCCTGTGAAGTCGGCCACAACATCTATCACTTCCTTAACGAAGTCCGCGTGACCCTGACTGGCACACTCCTCCCCAAAGAGACCAGCTACAGCAAACATGGACACCACCTGGCCAATAAGACAGTCGTATTTGGTACTCATGGACGAGGCCTATATGTTTTCACTTTCCGCTTACACAGACGTTAGTGCTATATTGTGCTGTGAAAAAGCAAGGGACTCACAGCCCATGGCGATAGAGAGTGTGACTAGCAAGACCGGCTCGCGTTATGAAAAGTTTTACATAATTAGACTTATATGGTTTGGCACAGACTCAGCAGAAAGTGACGTGGTTTGGCACAGACTCAGCAGAAAGTGACGTGGTTTGGCACAGACTCAGCAGAAAGTGACGTGGTTTGGCACAGACTCAGCAGAAAGTGACGTGGTTTGGCACAGACTCAGCACGTGGTTTGGCACAGTCTTCAGCAGAAAGTGACGTGGTTTGGCACAGACTCAGCAGAAAGTGACGTGGTTTGGCACAGACTCAGCAGAAAGTGACGTGGTTTGGCACAGAAGCACGAAAGTCTTTTTCATTCACTAAAAGTGACATGGTTTGACATGGAAGAACGAACAGTCTATTTCAGTCACTCTAAAGTTTCATGGTTTGGCACAGAAAAACGAAAGTCCAATTCACTTAACCGAAAGTGGTATGGTTTCGTCTAAAAGGGACATGGAAGCCGCGGTAGTGTACTAGCTTAAAGCTTGTTCCTCGGTCCCAGTGAATGATGCACAATTTACTCAAGAGTCCTCGCTTTTAACTCTGAGGAGGAGGTACAAGCATTTCGCCAGTGCACTACGGTGGCTTCCATGTCCCTTTCGAGTGAGTAAATTCCACTTTCGTTCTCTGTGCCAAACCATGTCGCTTTCGGGTGAGTGAATTAGACATTCGTTCTTTTGTATCAATCATGCCACTTTCGAGTGACTAAACTAGACCGTTCGTTCTTCTGTGCCAAACCCTGTCGCTTTCGGGTGAGTGAATTAGACTTTCGTTCTTTTGTACCAATCATGCCAATTTCGAGTGACTTAATTAGACCGTTCGTTCTTCTTTGCCAAACCATGTCACTTTAAGAAATATCTCGAAAACTTCTGCACGAATCAACTCGAATGTTTGCAATTTGTCTTAGATTCTCCATGCCTTTGTCATTTCACAATGGCAGTTTTTTTTTTTTTTTTCACGGCGGCGACTTTTATTTATCTTTGTGACTAATAATATGTGTACCTCTAACATTTTTTACAGTAACTGGCACACATCGTGTTCTTTTTATGAGCCAGTCAACAAGTATTTTGTCAGTACATAGTGTATTCACTTCACTATTCAAAAATAACCGCGCCTTTGTTTCTCACGTCGGCTCTGTGGCTAAGTCGATGCGAAAGCTTCGTAATGCCGGGATGCCGGGTTCGACCCCAGCTGCGGGCCATGCCCCTTGCGTTGGTTTCGACAGTGATATCAAGAACGCCGACCGTCCAGGAAGCAATGGCAAACTACTGGACGTAAATTTGCCTAGAAAAACCACACAACAGCCAGGGGCTGCTTGGGTTAGTTCTGCAACGTCCTGTAAAGGATACGCAACTAACCTTGTTTCTCACACAATGCTTGAAGTTTGATGTTTCGCTAACTTCGCCTTAAGCCATTTACTGTAAGCATGGAAACTATGCTTAGAATTTATATCTATTTTTTGTTTTCATATACCACAAATAAGGAAAAATGAAAACTAGATGTCTGTTTATACTGTTTGTTTTTTTTTTTCTCCATCGGACATGATTATAAACAGGTTGCATGCCTAGTTTCTACAGCATGATATTTGTATATCTTCACGGCAGTTCACTAAATTAGCCTACCTGCTGTGGCCCACCCTCTCAGAGCTGCTACTATCTGTTTATGCCCGTCATACTCGTCTGCACTGTGCTCTATTGTTTGATTTTTGTGTGATATTTGTGTGATTTACGTATGTGCTGATGAAGACTCTGTAGCCGCACCGCTCACTTGTCGTTTGTGTTTGTTATAGTGTGAAGTTCGCTGATCTACTTTACGTTTGGTTTTATATTTTACCATAAACAGCTTACACAGAACGGTTACCGAGTTACAGATTTGTAAAGTTAGGCATGACATTTGAAACGGACTGTAACAATTATGCAGAACGGCAAGAAGGAGTCACAGTCCAAAGATGTAAACAAAGATGTAAGTCGACAATGAACTGTTCGTGTGCTATACATATTCTCAATACAGGACTATGTTTTGACTCAACAGTATGGGCAATGAACAAGCAATTATAAACTTAAAAAGATTCTGTATACATTGGGATACACTGGAAAATGGGTTTAAATTTCACGTTCCGTGGTGATCTGGCGTGGGCGATCCTGCCTTTTCACAACACGCAATCTTCAACAGCATGTATCCGTTGATGTACTGACACCCCTCCATGCCAGGAGAACAGGTTGTCAAGAATATCTACGCGTTGTGTTCTTTTGTCACTCTTGCCACAGATCTTCTCAGTGGTCACGATATGTTCGGTTTCCTTCTTCCAAAAAAAAAAAATGACAAGAAAATTTTGACTGTCTCTTTCTGATGGGTGTGGTATCTGGTAATCTGGTAATCCTAGTTTTAGCTTCATAGCAAACGGGTTACCCCACAGTTGCTCCGCTCCTGTGCCAACGAAAAACAAAAGCAGCTCACAGTGTCACGCCATGCACTCAACTCAGAAGCCGGGCGACGAAACTACATCCTTCCAGCCTACAAATGGAGAAAAAATGCAACGGCCATCGTCTGGCAGAAAAACAAAACATTTGCCACATCTTTAAAAAAAAAAGGTGGCCGTGCCTAGCGTCCATTTTGACCGCAGCAGTACCCTCATTATTTGCTGGGGAAGGGACTTATGACATTACATCCACCAGCAGGCGTCGCCCCTACAACGACCTGCCTGCCATCGTTAACCACTGTTCACCCAACAGCCATGCAGTTTTTTGGCACGAAAGAGACACCTTGAACTTGGGTTTCGGACTGCCGACTCCCTACTAAGACGTTATTTTGTGTTTTGTTATCACAATTGATGTCACTGCACATTGGGCATACCCATGCGTGCTCAGTTCTCCGAAGCAGCAGCCACTCCAAAGTACTTCTACTAATTGTCCCCATAAGAAGCTGGTTATATTGTCTCCTTTCTCGGCCTCGAAGACGGCAAAGACGTGCATCACCATGCTCAACTCCCATGTCACGCAATCGTGTTAGTGTCAGGGATTCCTCATTCTTCACTAGCCCAGTTCGTACAGCGTTGACTATATCTGCTGTGTCCATACTTTTTCCCGCAATCATTAGTGCGGTGCTTGCCAGTTGGTCTGCTCGCTCATTTCCCTTCACGCCCGCATGACCCGGTGTGTAGATCCAGGTTACGGAGGTTAAGTGTGATTTCCGAATGCTTTCTACCCATTCAGAGCGCATTCTGCCTGTTGCTATCCTCTGAAGCATATTCATTGAGTCTGAGACAATTACTGCCTGTGTAGCGGTTTGCTCGGATACCCACGCTAAAGCTCTAGAAGCAGCGGCTATTTCCATTGTCATGCTTGACGTGGTTGTCTGGTAAGCGCCGCTGTCCTCGTGTATTGTTTTCCCCTTTCTTTGCGCTGTGTATGCCCATGCTGACCTTGATACGCGCTTCACGGATCCATCTGTGTAGATGATGGTATCTTCTGGGTCTGAATGCTGATCTATCAGTTCCCTTACTTCTGTGTCTACGGCAGTACCTTCCGAGTGTGATGACAACGCATGTCTACTGGTGTATTCGTCCATTCTTTTCCGTGACTGATCACGTCTAGGTCACATACCTGCTGGATTAAGTCCTCAGCCTTTCCCATCCAAGAGCGGCCTCTTTTGAGACGCGTTCCTTTTGTGTCGTGTATAGCTTTGTGTAATGGGTGGTTAACGTCTGCCGATACCCTCATGTAAGCCTTGACCTGTGCCACTTTGTATCTGCTAGTCATAGTCGGCAGACCCAGGACATAACGCATGGCGTTGCAGGAGGTGTTTTTTGTGCAGCCGAGTATGAGTCTCATGGCCTCATTCTGTACTCGGTCCAGTCTTTATAGCTGGGTTTTGCTGACAGTGAGGAGGCCAAGACCATAGTCAATGACGCTAAGCACAAGCCCCTGATAGAGAAGGAAAAGTTGACGATGTTCAATATCAGCTGCTGCTAGCACCTTGAGTGCTGCCAAACCTTTCCTGGCTCTAAGTATGACGTTGTCTACGTGTCATTTGTATGACAAGCATCTGTCAAATGTCATGCCCAGGTATTTCATGGTGTCCGTTCTCTCGATGTCCACACCACAGATGCTTACGACTGGCGTTGGTGTACTAACGATGTGGGTATTCAGAGAGAACCATGTTAAGGAGGCTTTGGACAGGTTCACCTGAGCTCTTGATTCCTGGCACCACTCACTAAGTCTGTCTAGTTCGTGTTGTAGTGTGGTAGTAATTTCCTGCCTGTTTTTACCTCGATGGTAAACAAGGATATCATCTGCCAACGACATTGTTCTGCCTAGGCCTAGGTTTGTGCACTCGTGACTCCAGCTGTGTACACATTGAAGAGCACAGGCGACAATGGTGATCCCTGGGGCAGACCGATTAGGACGCATTGAGGTTCGGATACCCATTCACCACATCGAAGCGACACTGTTCTTTCAAATAGCGCTGCTGCGATCCAGTTGACCAGATTTGTTTCTATCTGCATATCCAACAGCAGTCTGATGAGCATGTTGTATGGAACGCTGTTGTACGCACCTTCTAAGTCAATAGCGACTGCAGCCGTTTCTATTCCCTCCTGGAAACCCTCATACGTGTCGTAGGCAAATACTGCAGCATTGCACCATGTAACTCTTCCTGGTCGGTACCCACCTAGTGTAGCGGGGAATAGGCCACCCGACTCCAATATTTGGGTTAAAGTTCTGGCAACGATTTTTTCCATGAGTTTTCCTACAGTGTTCTGGAGTGTGATGATTCTGTAGCCATTTATTCTCGTGTAGTCTTTTCCTGGCTTAGGAACCGGTCTGAGGTAGCTATGGAACCAGTCATCAGGAATAATGCCAGTTTTCATGGTGTTGTTAAAAATCGTGGATAGTTCATCAATATCTGTCGCCTCGAGGCTTTTGAAGTGGCTGTATCTAATGCCATCAGGCCCTGGAGCTGTGTCCGGACAGGTCTTCAGTGTTGCTTTGATGCAGGGAGTGGTATGTTGTATTCGGGTCTTCGCCTCTTTCAAAACATCTAGACTGCTACATGGCTGTTACAGAAGTTGTAAGGTATTTTACTGTAAAACCACACCTTTGAAAGAGATTATATAAAATGTTTGATTGCTACATGGCTGTACAAGAAATTTTAAGGTATTTTTCTGTAAAACCACATATTTTTAATAGATTATAAAAAATGTATGATTGCAACATGGCTGTACAAGAAATTTTAAAGTATTTTTCTGTAAAACCACATATTTTAAATAGATTATATACAATGTATGATTGCTACATGGCTGTAAAAGGCAGTTTAAGGATTTGTCTGTAAAATCATTTCTCTGAAAGGTATTGCAAAAGCTACAAATCATATATAAAGATTTTATTTTTACGCGCGCACGCGCGCGCGCGCGCACGCACGCACGCACGCACGCACGCACACACACACAAACACACACACACACACACGCACACAAGACTTAGAGAATAGTCGAAAGCAACAGAGTAAGATGTAGTTAAATACAAGTGGAACACAAACATCGAAAGATGGCCAAACTGTAATCATTCGACAACAAAGAAGAAGACGTTGATGAAGATGATTAACTTATTAGAAAGCCCCATTGATTTTGCTAGCCTTGCTTTGCCAATTTTAATTTTGTTCGTGTTATGTTATGTTATCACAATCACTACACGCTAGGCATTCCCATGCGCGCTCAGTCCTCCTATTCAGTAGCCACTACAAGGTACTTCTACTAATTGTTCCAATGGGAAGCTGGTTATGTCTCCTATCTCGGCCTCGAAAGTGGCATAGTCGTGCTTTACCATGCTTTACTCCGATGTCACGCACTCGTGTTAGTGTCAGAGATTCGTCATTATGGCATGTAACTTTTCTTACCTTTCCCCAGGTGATGTCCCCCTCAAATAATACCGTCAATAACGACGTCAGCGTGGTCCGAACAACTTTGGCAGAACTCATTGTCATGCATAGTTTCCTGGACACGTTACTGTATGTCATTGGATGAGCCAACTCCAATGATAAGGCGGCATTAATCACGTGAACAGATTTAGAATAACCTGGTGCTGACAGGCCAACCTAGATCAAGTAATATAATTCATGTAAATAAAACATTACAGTAACACCGTCCCAAAATGGGACGCAACTTTTTGTTATTTTAAGACCCATCCCAGCTATTGCTGGGGTCCTAATATAATCCAACTTATATGTTGAACGGGGTTTTTGAAACTTGTGGCCGGGTTATTCTCATTCAAATGGCGGCACTTTGTGTCATCGGATGTTGGTAGCTCGTTGCATGGTCCTGGTGGGTTGAACAACATATATACACGTAAACTAGTAGAAGTAGAGAAAGTAGTCAGGTAAATAAGCTAGAGCAAGTACGTAAAGTAGAAGAAGGTAAGTATTCAAGTAAGTAATGAGATTCATGCAAAAGTAGAAAGTAGAGAGTGTAGCCACATAAATATTAAGAAAAAGCCACATATGCGTAGAAGTAGAGAAAGTCGTCAAGTTTTAAAAAAAGTAGAAAAGTTAGTCAAGTTAAAAGAAAAATAAGAGAAAGTCACGAACTAACAACCTACCCACCCATACTGGACTACGTGTTACTTGGTACTCGGGTATTCTAATTACAAGTGTGTCATACAGCTGAACGGGGGTTCTGAAATAGCTATGGGATACTCCTCTGGATATGGTCTTTTGGGGTTACTTAGTATTTAACTATCAGAAAGCAATGCTGGAAAAAGGGACAAAGTGGGTGTGTGTGTGTGGGGGGGGGGGGGGGGGGGGTTAAAAGAAAAACTTACAGTAAATGACCCCGCTCATGGAAGAAGAGCATTATATAGAGTATCGGACTTGTATCTTTGTAGACTGCTAGGATACCAAAGGTGATAGGGTCAACATCACACCGATCACTTCTACTTCCCTAGACATTTCTCGGTACCTATTTGAGGCTGGGTAGACAAGCAAAAGTCCAGATTCCGCGCTACAAAGACATGTTCTATAGTCAATCCCAGAAGTCCTGTCGAACTTCAAACATCTGTAACTCAGAAACCGTTTGATATAACTTGTTGAAATTTGGCGCACAGCCTGTTAAAAATTATTTCCTTGTAATTATTTCGGTTCTTTATTAATATCCCACCCCAGATTCTTCACGGGACAGTCCAACATTATAGAGGGTAGAAATAATGGGTTTACCGGCTTTCTGATGCTTTTAACGACCCCAAAACATCTAGAACTGGCCCCAACCCCAACCCACCTACGTCTCACGAAGGTATGCAGCCTAGGTCCCACGACTAATGCAGCCTATCTACCACCCCCCCCCCACCCCACCCCGTGACCTGTGGATTTCCCCTGTTTGGGGTAGGATATTATTATAGCACCATTGTTTCTTCTTCTTATTTTCTTCTTCTTCTACTACTTCTTCTTCTGCTTCTTCTTCTTCTACTGTTTTTCCTTCAATTTTAATTAACCCTTTTTAACTTCTGACTATGGAGCTAATTTGGTCATAGTCAATATCGGTAATAATTATGGCAACAAATTGTGTTGCCATTTTATTAAGTAGTGTTTGGTGCTAGTAAATCATGTCTTCCGTGTGCATCCGGCTGTGTTCGTCTCAATGTGCAGGCTGGAATCTGATTAGGTGGTTTGTTCCCTATTGTACCATCCGTTTGATGGTGTTACTGTCATTGATTGGGCTGTCTAACAAATTTACTGAGGAAAGGACGCCATTAAGAGAGGCCCAAAAAGCTGGACTTCGATAGATCCATAATAGGAGAAAACGGAATGTAAGTATAGACTCCGAGCCCTATGTGAAGTATAACAGCAGAAGATGTAAATAACCCACGGTGAGTTGCTTGGTACTAAATGGGTTAAAAGAAGTACCACTTACCTTCCGACTCATGAGCTTCTTTGACGCCAGCTTGTGGAGAATATAATCTGTACATATCCAGTGGGCCTTTCAGGTTAAAAAAAAACAGTGCTTTCGTTAATAAGAGTTATAGAAGGTTTGTACACTGTGCTAGTGATATTTCGGCTATAGAATTACAACTTGGACACGAACATTTCACTCATAAAGTGGGGGGGGGGGGGGGGGGGGGGGGGGGGGGGGGGGGGGGGAGAAGGAGACAACGTGGCGGGTCGTTGTCAGAGTTAGTGTTTCCATTGTGTGTGTGTGTGTGTGTGTGTGTTTTTTTCAAATGGTGTTTACCTTGCTGTTACGTTATGTTGTAGTGGTTTCCATCACTGTTATGTTATTCCATTATTGTACCGTGGTCGCTTTTGGTGTTATTATGAAATAATTTTGTCGTCTTCGTGTTATATAATCGTCGTTTTGCAGTCGCCATTGTTGTTGTGTTATCTTGAAGTGATTTTTATAGTCGACTAGCTGTACCCGCCCACGCGTTGCTGTGGCCCTGAATGATGAAATGCAGAGGAAAGAAAAATATCTCTCAGCTAACAGTGTCTGTCATTACCCCCCCCCCCCCCCCCCCTTTTTTCCCCTCGACGCAGTCATATCTTCCTCTCCGAAGGACTGAAAAATCATCCATGGCAAAATTATTAAAATAGAAATAGTTAAGAAATGAGAACTTTAAAATAATATTTTAAGCTCTCTCAGCTAACTGTGTTTGGCATAACCCCCCCCCCCCACACACACAACACACACACACTTTTCCCCTTTCCACCAATCATATTTCCCTCTCCGTAGGATTAAAAAATCATCACCTGGCGAAATTATTAAAATAGAAATAGTAAAGAAATGAGAATATTAAAATAATATTTTAAGCTCTCTCAGCTAACGGTGTCTGGCATACCCCCCCCCCCGCTCCCCCAATCATATCCCCCTCTCCCAAAGATTGAAAAATCATCACCTGGCGAAGTCATATCTCCCTCCCCGAAGGACTGAAAAATCATCCATGGCGAAATTATTAAAATAGAAATAGATAAGAAATGAGAACTTTAAAATAATATTTTAAGCTCTCTCAGCTAACTGTGTCTGGCACCCCCCCCCCCCCCCCCCCATCATCATATCATCTTCTCCGAAGGATGGGAAAGTCACCGTGTAACGAAATATTGTAACTAAATTGAGCTTTGCATCCGTGTCCACCCAGACTTAAATAGGTAGCATTAACTTGTACAGAGAAGTAAATGTAGCCAGTGTAACAGCTACCACATCACCCATCCAGTACCAGTACTACTGTAACCACAACCACCACCACTATCACCACAACAACAACAAAAACTGTCACTACAGTCTGTGTAGGTCGGTGTAGAAAAGAGGAGTTAGCGCCGCATGCTGTCGCCATGGACTATTTAGTTTGATTTTGCCCCGGGCGTAGAAAAAAAAAAAAAAACTTCATCACGTAACCAGCGATGGAACCCACAGTAAAAAGTACACTATACTCACGAATAGCGGAGAAAAATACCCTGCACCCGTCATCTCTCCCTCTCCGATGGAACGATTTTTAACTGACCATGGCATCTGTGTCCACTCAAACTAAACTGGACTGTAAGCCGTCTTAGTTAACAGTTTCTGTCATCGCCGACTAGTTTTTGATCGAGAAGCGTGGCGGGGAGGCTAATTAGGACTTAAGTGAAATCGGATGCCTTTGGGCGAAAGGCGCAGATATCGCAGCCTAGCTGTAAACCACAGCACAACGTGGCAACCACCCTTTTAAGGGAAAAAGAACAATTATCACCCAGCGGGAAATCGAACACTGGTCACCCGCGTGAAGGATGACATACTTACAAACAACTATACTACCGACGACTGAAGAGTTTAGGTCAGATATCGCAGCCTAGCTGTAACCACAACACAACGTGCAAACGGCCCTCTCGAGGCCGAACGAAGATTACCCGTGACATGACCATTGAGCATCACGTCGCCGCTGTCGCAGGCTAGCTGTAAACCCCAAAACCGAAAATAGCATAGATATCGCAGCCTAGCCATAAACCACAACACAACGTGCCAGCCGCCCAGTTAAGGGCTAAAAAAGAAAATTATATCACCTAGCGGGGAATCGAACACAGTTCACTGGCATGATAGGCAGAATAGCTACCAACTACGCTACCAAACACTCAAGCAAATAGTGGAAATGAAATTATATAATAATGCAAAGTTAAGAGCTCAGCAGTCAAATATGGCCAATGAACTAAAAACAAATCCGGGCCGGCAACGAAACAAATAATGATTTGACCGTTGCTGGAGCTACGTTGTTGGTGGTTTGTGCGATTTTCTGACAAATAATCACGCTTGGAGTCAAAGGAAATGTTGTGTGCAAATTTGAAAGCAATCGGTTCAGTAGTTTCCGAGTTTTTAGCTAACAACATCGGAAAATTAACATTTTTATTAATATAGATGGGTTCGTCATGTAATGCTGAAGTCATGTTGTAGTCGTTGTTGTTGTCATATTATGTTGAAGTCATGTTGTAGTCGTTATTGTCATGTTATGTTGAAGTTGTGTTGTAGTAGATGTTGTCATGTTATGCTGAAGTTATTTTGTAGTCGATGTCGTCCTGTTATGTTGAAGTGATGTTGTAGTCGATGTCGTCATATTATGTTAAAGTCATATTGTAGTAGATGTTGTCATATTATGTTGAAGTGATGTTGTAGTCGATGTCGTCATGTTATGATAAAGTCATGTTGTAGTCGATGTCATCGCAATAAATTAAAGTCATGTTATAGTCGTTATTGTCATGTTATGTTGAACATGTTTTAGTAGATGTTGTTATGTTATGGTGAAGTAGTAGAAGGAGCAGCAGCAGCAGTAGTACAAGTAGTAGTATTAGTAACAGTAGTAGCATTAGCAGCTGTGGTAGCAGTAGCAGCTGCAGCAAACAACAGTAGTAGTAGTAGTAGTGCCAGAAGCAGCAGTAATTGCAGTAGTAGTTGCAGTATATACTGTTGAATATGACTCAAGGATCGACATCACAGCATTTAGAACATTATCATAAACGCTCGGTTCAGATCTTAAGCAGCCAACGCCGAGTTCAAATTCCCAGTGCACCAGTAATAGTCCCAGAGTCTGACTGTATATCCGTCTCATCTTTCCCTTCTGTGCTGAGCGTCGGCCCGATCCCTTGTACATTCCAAACATTTCAAGTAGATAATCTAGCAACAAAAGAAACACATGCTGGAATAGAGTGAACAGCATTCTCTGTTCAGTGTCCAGTGCTGCTGTCATTTTGAGCGCACAGAGTCCTTTGTGGCATTTTGCCGCAACTACGTCCACATGATAAATGAAAGGTAGGCTTCTGTAAAGTTATACACAGGTACCCGAGTTTGCTTTCTCTTTTGATAATTCTTTGTAGTAGTGGTGGTGATAGCAGTTGTGGTAGTGGTGATGGTGATGGTGGTGACGACAGTAGGGGTGGCAGAGGTGGTAGTAGTAGTAGTAGTAGTAGTGAGAGTAGAGGGAGGAGAACTAGTGGTAGTAGTGATAGGAGCTGCTATAAGTAGTGGACTTACCTGTTCAACAATATCGATGTGGCCCACTGGCAGACGCCGTCTGGGCCGAGACACGAACAGGGATCCGACTGCTCGCTTCACTCCTTTGGCAAGTACTGTGTACACTAAGTGAACAGCCTTGGCAAAAGTTAGCAGAGTTATGCAACTCTTATCACCGTGATCACCGCGACAGGAGGAAGAGGAATTTCTCCTCATTCGACGTCTGGAGCTTTGAGATCCATCAAAAGATGGCGAGGAACTGAGGCGATGTTCTCGTGAATACACGTTAGAGGGAGAAAGTAAGGACTGGCTATTTCCTGTCACGTGACCATCGGGAAGCGTCAATGATGAGTAGGACAACAATGGCGGGACAGCATGCCCATGCTTGGTCAAATTGCTGTTGTTATTTTTATTATGGCTGCTGTCTTGGGGAATGTGATCTAAGCTGAGACTGCTGAAGCCCTGGTCGTGTCGTCGTTTGGTTGGGGTCCCGGGTGGCATCTCGGCTCTTTTGATCATAAGGGTCTGCAGATTGGAACCAATGCACCTTTAGAATAAATGCAACAAATAACGGAGCCTTTTCCATAGCTATAGCTAATCTGAGCACACATACAGGTGCGGACAGACACATACATTTGGCGTTGTTAAAGATTTAACGTTTACTAAATGGCAGACGTCTTAGATGGCTACGGAGATAGGCAAACGGACGGACAGAGAGAGAGAAGAGATATATAGATAGACAGACAGACAGACAGATAGATAGACAGACAGTTATATAGAAAAATACATACATACACACACATATACACACATACATACATACATACATACATACATACATACATACATACATACATACATACATACATACATACATACATACATACATACATACATACATACATACATACATACATACATACATACATACATACATACATACATACATACATACATACATACATACATACATACATACATACATACATACATACATACATACATACATACATAACATACATACTACATACATACATACATACATACATACATACATACATACATACATACATACATACATACATACATACATACATACATACATACAACATACATACATAAATTTAAACACACACTCACACACACAACATGTGTGTATGTTGACGCGTGCACCCCTAGTTTATACATCAGTTTGAACCCTTCTTATGCTTTTGCCGAGTACTGTTCTATGCATGCACAACTTTACCCCCATTTCACTTTGTTATCTAATCTCAAATATGTTTTGTCTTATTCTGGCATTTATCTTCCTTCGCAATTTGCATGATTTAATTTTTCTCGTGGCATTTCCACTGGGAATTATTTTGTGTGTGTGTGTATAATCACACCTATTACTACTATTACGTTTGTGTTATCTCTTGTGTACAGGATCTATCTCTTTGCGTTGTTATGGTGTCAATATTGTTTCCAGACAACGTCAACTACACACTTGTATGTATCTTGTATGTTCTAAGTGTGTCAAATGGGCTTGTGTGAGCGTGTAGGTGTGTTAATATAGGTCAACGTGTGATTCCGGTGTCAGCTAAGAAAAATGTCCTCCAGAAAATCAATCCTGCAAGTGCAAGTTCCTTGGACCGCCGAGAAGTCGTTGGGTTGTCTGGTTGATATAGAGCCTTTGATGTGTCAGGAATGTTATTAAAATGTTAATGTTATCTCAAGGTCTTGATGTTTGCTATTTGTGTTTTTTATAATTGTATTTCTTTGAGCTACATCGTGAAAATCTTTCACTACTATCTCTCCCCCCCCCCCTCACTTTATAGGGCGGTGTAGACAGAGAGTCGTTCAGGGCCGCTTAGCTAGTGCTGTCGCCACGGACTGTGCTGGTTAGGACGTTTATAATTTTACCCCATCGTCGAACCAGGGTCTCCCGGATGAGAGCCCGAAGCTGTAACCATTCGACAGACCGTTTCTCGTTTTTTTTTTTTTTTTAAACGCATGTTTGGGTTTTATTCTATATCTAGCATAATGACGTGCATTAGTTTATTATAAAAAATTTCAGCAACAAATATAACAACAACAAATGCCAGTAATGCCATTATCACTGTATTTGAAAAGTTAAACTCGGAAGGATCAACATCAATGCACCACGTGTTATCCCATATGGCTCGGTCTGTCTCCGCAAATCAGCAAGCCGCCTGCCAAGAGCGCGCACAACGTACGAAATCCGTAGCTCTAACAACGATTCTCAGGGATCTCCAACAAAGTGCACTTGTGTATTGAACGACGTCACCCTAAAAGGAACTCACGACTTTCAGTGCGTCAGACAAACAGCCTAATCACTTACTATTGTTACTACTACTGCTGCTGCTGCTGTTACTACTGCTGTTACTACTACTGCTGCTACTGCTGTCACTACTACTGCTGCTGTTACTACTGCTGTTACTACTACTGCTGCTGCTACTGCTGTCACTACTACTGCTGCTGCTACTGCTGTCACTACTACTGCTGCTGTTACTACTACTGCTGCTGATGCTGCTGCTACTGCTGTTACCACTACTGCTGCTGCTGCTGTTACTACTACTGTTGTTACTACTACTGCTGCTACTACTACTGTTACTACTGCTGCTGCTACTACAACTGCTGCTACTACTGCTGCTACTACTGCTGTTACTACTACTACTGCTGCTGCTGTTGTTACTACTACTGCTGCTGCTGCTACTACTGCTGCTACTGCGATTACTACTACTGCTGCTGCTGCTACTGCTGTTACTACTACTGCTGCTGCTACTGTGATTACTACTACTACCGCTGCTACTACTGCTTTTACTACTACTGCTGTTACTACTACTGCTGCTGCGGTCACTACTACTACTGCTGCTACTACTGCTGTTACTACTGCTACTGCTGTTACTACTATTTCTACTGCTGCTTATGCTACTACTACTACTACTACTGCTGCTACTACTACTGCTGCTGCTACTACTATTGCTGCTGCTGCTACTACTACTATATTTCTGCTGTTGCTACTACTACTACTATTTCTGCTGCTACTGCTGCTGTTGCTACTACTACTATATTTCTGCTGTTGCTACTACTACTACTACTATTTCTGCTGCTGTTGCTACTACTGCTGCTGCTGCTACTACTACTCTATTTCTGCTGCTGATTCCACTACTACTATTTCTGCTGCTGCTCCTTGTGTTGATTTCAACAATGGAACTGACAGCCGACCGTTTGGGGGGGGGGGGGGGGGGCAATGGCAAACTACTGAAAGTAACATTGCCTAGCAAAACCACAGTCAAGCTATGTTATCTTGACAGTGTCTGTTTCCTCCGTTCGACATTCTTCTGCTGCAAAACCATCCGATACTAAAGACTTCAAACTAAATTTGACCGTGTTATGTTTACCTTTATTTCGATGTTAACTTCCAAGAAACACAATACAGCTGGCGATGGGGTGATGATAGTGATGCGGCTGGTGGCTTTCACAAAGTGTTATCTGTTACATCAGATTCAGCCAGCCGTGAGTTCGCGGGACGAACAGGAAAAAACTTACACTGGCCAACAAAACAAAATAAACAACGTGTGCACAGCAAAACTAGGATCTTTCTAGTGAAACCCACATAACAAAACTAGTACATGCCAACTGAGTCAATTCCTAATTATTTGTTGCTGACCTTTCAAACATCTGTTTTCTAATCATTTTATCTCTAGCTCGCCCTGCGGTGTTATCGTGCTGTCAACTTTTATAGATTTGTAGGCGGGAGTTAATTCTATGGAAACTGTAACGATTGTTTTAAAAGTAAAGTTATACATCATATTTTAAACATTGTAAGTCGGGGGGGGGGGGGGGGGGGGGAGGTCTCTGTGGCAAAAGTGGTCAAGCCGTTGGATTCACGCTGTGAAGGACTTAGTTTCGTTTCACGTCAGTGCCTGTTAGTTAATTTTTACGGAGATCCTCGGGGATCGTCGCCAGAACTACGGAGGTTGTGTTCTGTGCGACATTGTCGGCAAGCAGCTAGCTATTCTGCGGAGAAAGCTTTTGCCATATGGGATAAAACCCGGTGCACTGAATGTAGGTAGGTAAACCAAACCCCATCAGGACATCATACAAGCAATAAACACTCAGTGACACAAAGTGCCACCATGCGGATGAGGATCACCCGTGGAGAGGTCCCGGGAACCCCGTTCAGCCATTAGGCCATATTCAAGGCACGGCTATATTTAGGGCCCCCGTCAAAAGCCAGAGTGGGGCTTCAAAATAACTAAAAATTGCAACAAGGGGACGACTTGAATTACCGGTGAAATAAAGTCGATTCTTTCACAGTTATTTTTACTTTTTAAACATTGTTAATGGTGAAGGTTCATATTTTAACAGTAAGGGTAAGGTCTGTTTCAAATGTAAGGACATAAGTAAAGATATATATTGTTGTATCATTATAGCTACTCAGGGCCGGATACAGACTTGATTAGGCCCTAATCTATATACAGCAGAAAACACTAAGATTGTTGCGTATCCTTTACAGGATGTTGCAGAACCAACTCCAACAGCCCCTGGCTGTTGTGTGGTTTTTAAGGCAAATTTACGTCCAGTAGTTTGTCATTGCTTTCTGGATGGTCGGCTTTCTTGATACACTGTCGAAACCAACGCAAGGCTCACGGCCCGCAGCTGGGATCGAACCCGGTATCCCGGCATTACGAAGCGTTCGCATCGACTTAGCCACAGAGCCGACCATGATGTCACTATCGTTTTAAATTATACCAGTTATCCCATACAGCTAGAATAAATAAATACCTGAAATAATATACCTAAGAGAATAGTCCTAAGCTGTAGCTTAGTTAGATTAAACCTAAATCCAGCAATTTGGCTGCTACACTTTCGGGATTGTTATATCATCATAACTGATAGAGTAAAAGCATTGGTGGCCGAACACACATCACCGCAAGATGCTGTTATATAAACAGATGGTTCTGTGATTCGTTAAAGTGTGTAGGCTTTCACGGCAAGAACTAAAGGGAACGACATTAAAAAAGACAGCTGCACATTTGTTTCTACCACCAGTAGCATGACAATGAAGGTCATGGCTGTGACAAATGCCTTAGATTGATTACAAACGCAGGAAATAACCAATGCACGCTTTCTCAGCGACTCAATGAGTATGCTACAGAAGATCAAGGCTGGGTACAAATGAAAACAATGGCTCCATCTGATACAGCACGCAGCGTTTCACAAAATCACCTCCACGTGAGGTGCTAATTCTTTTTACTACTTTTGACCTTCCGGTCAAAATGGACGCCACGCGCGGTTACTGTTTCGAGGCGTCGACAGTGCATTTTTGATTTTTGCTTTCTGCCAGACGAGTGGCCGCGACCCTGTATTTTTTGAAATCCGCGGTGATTTGTAGACTGAAAAGGAAGACATGTTGTATAAGGAGATACTCCGTCAAGCCACTATCCTGCGGAACTGCAAGCTGACAGCACGTCCTCGTCGTGGCGCGACAAATGAGCATGTGAGCTGCAGGG